CGTACTTTACCGGCAAGCTCCACACCAGCTGTGGTTCATGTGGTTCGATTCCGGCATAAGCTCACAGCTGAAACCATAAAAGTAGCACAACTGGCATTTGGTTTTCATCCAACTTTATAGTGTAATGTAAAATCCCTTGAGTTCCTGGGGAAACACCTTTCTTTTTTCATCATCAAAAGACAAAACCTTACTCTTCTGTTTGGTATTAATATGCCATCAGCTCCTTGTGTCTTGCCTGAAGTAACAATATAATGATTTTGTGCACGGCAAGTGAAAAAGGATCTTGGTTGAAAATGTAATCTTATGTGGTTCACAAAAGTTGACACTACTAAATCATATGCTGTTTTCAGACATGCACGGAACTTGGGATACTCACATGAAATTTCCCAGAGGTGCTGTATGTGGGATTGCAAATGTCCAAGTCGGTTGATCTGGACATTATGTGGAGTTAAATTCCTGCCATCCCCCTTGTAAAAACTCTGCAGTATGTCTGAGTGAGCCCATGTGTGAACACAGCAGGATATTGTCCAGATAATTCATTGCAATGACATTTCAATTGTGCAATAAACAAAAAACAAACAAACCCCAAAATAAAACAAAAAGATTACAAATATGTGTATATTGTAAAACATGTAGAAGATGTCAACTTGGAGATTTGTGTAGTGGAATTAATGTCATGTCCTGCCTAGGCTGCCCCTCCCAACATTTTCCCATTGTTGTGAACCTGTCTGACTCAGGGAATTTCCAGATGAATTCTTCATGTTTGAAAGGTAAAGTCCAGAGAAAGGCCATTTTCCGGTGTTCTGATATTAGAGGGAAAGAATTAGCAATGGCTGCGGGGAACTGTGGAGACAGTGCCAGCTAAGAATAGAAGATAAGACTTTTTCCAGGAAACTGAGAGAAATTGTGCCATGATATTTGACCTGGAGGTTTAATTAGAGCACATAAAACAAGCACATAAACTGAGGCAGGAAATGTCTTGTAATGTCTGTATTTGCAGGAGCTTGAAACCCACAAGTGATTATAAGGCTATTGTCCAAAGCATTGTGTCTTCTTTGACTCGACATCTATGGCTAAAGACTTTGTTGACAGGCCATTGAGGTGGTCCATATGTCGGTGTGAAGGCACAGGGCTCGTGATTCTCTGGAGGATGTAGAGGAAACCAGACAAAGGCTCGGCCAGCAGACCCCGAGACCCACAGAGCCTCAATGGAGCAGTGGCAGATCCCCCACTGGGACCAGTTGCCTGTACCTCCTCAAACCAAAGTCTGATCTATGGAAAACTGGCCACTCCACCATAATAAGTTCAACCATCCATACCCCTGCCCCCCTGGGTCACAAGGTCTCTTTTAGGTGAATAGTAGTTAAGGAATGTTTCACAGACTATTGGCATGTGAAGGATTCATGGTTTGTCTAAGTCATGGTGGACTGAATGGAGATTGATTGGAAATGGGTAGTTACTGTTATGAAACTACATGATGATGTGTGCAGTTGGGATTTATATGTTGAATTGGATGTCAGGGGTCATCTCAAAATACAAGGTCTGACAAAAATAGGTGAAAAAATGCAACATACATATCAACTCTTGAATCAAACTTAACAGGAGAGTATAGAATATGCTCTGTCTGGGTGTGATGACAATAATCACAGTTTTGTGCACACGACACTCACCATTTTCATGCTAATGTGCCATGCTAGCTATCAGTATAATGCGTAAAGAAAGTACACGGAAAACTAAAATCCACAACTAGAAGAATACACACCAGGTTTCCGCAAACGCCTATTCTTTTGCTTTGTCATCACTCATGTATTAACATGCAATGCCCATAAAGCAAATTCAAAAACAATTGGCAAGGAAGGTGAAACAGACAGAAAACATAGAAACAGAAAAATGGTTTGGCTTGTCTAAAACATTTTCAAGGTTTTTCAAAGTCCTAAAAAAAGGTGGAGGAAACCTGCTATGCCTTCGGAGCTTCAGAGGAAAACCAGACAAGTGATTTACACTAGCGGTCAAAAAAGCACTTTCACTGTTCTTTAAGCGTACAGTAAGAAATTACTCAGGCAGAGAGCAGGAGATGGACCCCTGGAGCGAGACCTCCCAAAACAGACAGATGGCCCACAGAACCCTGCACCACAAATCACATACACCAGACAGGTGTGAGCAAACAGGTAGCACATACTGTGCATGCAAATCACCCCCATGCACAAAGGAAAGACATCTTGGAAACACACATGCTTACTGAAAAAACAATAATCTTCTTGGTGTAAAAACAATACTCCGGGTGGTACTTTCATTTGAAGGATTCCTGGTAACGAGAGTGCTTTATTGTGGGAAGATGCAGAACATGAACTTGTAAAAGCAACAAAGAATGAAACAATTGGGCAAGAAGATGTGCTGCCAAATCTGCTTATGTAACCACACCACTACAGTCCATTCACCTCAGCAGAGGAAAGTAAATCTCACTGATTGCGGCAGAAATGTTGAAATACTTGGATGTGCTCTGACTTCTCTCCCATGACATGTCGCAGGATGGCCCCCATTTATATCTATCACATATCTTGTGTGTGTGTGTGTGTGCATGTGTGTTTGTTCAAGACAAATTAGTTCCATTTGGGGGTTTGTGCTTGCGCAAACCGCACTGCACACGTTAGTTGTTTGTGTGCAGGCTCACACAGGTTTGGGAAGGGAGCAGAGGAGAGGACGTGGGGTGTGTATTGCAAAGACATGCCAGGCATCCTGTGTGAGAGCGGGCAGGTTGAGGAGCTGTTGTGAACCCTCTGAAGTCACCTTTCACTCCCAGCTGAGAGACCCTTACTCAAATACATGAGCGTTTATGCTGCGCTCTTCACCCCTTTGCTTGTTCTGCCTTTCTCTTTCTCAGTCTGTCTCTCACACACACACACACACACGCACACACACACACTCGACAGCCTTTGTGGTCTGTGAGAGAAGTCAATATGTGTCCATTGAGCTGTCAGCTGATGCTCCTCTGCTCCGTCTGGTCTCCATGGCGTCATCTATAACAACTGACATCCAAACTGTCGGCACAGTATGGAGCAGAAACATCAGACGCCAAATGATAAACATGCACTGACTAACACATGAGTTTAAATTGTGAAATCACTTCATAATTAACATTGATGATCCCGCCACGGGAGACGTATTGTGTGTATAATTATGTGTGTAGGCTACTTTACTTTCATGATGGTGGCAAGATGTAGTAAATCACGAGCGCAAAACTCTGCTATTCTCCTTGAAGTACCCTTTTCTATTTCTCACTCATTTCCATGATAAAGTGTGCTGTCAACAGGTGGTTTGCTTTCCCACAGCTGTATGATGTGAGAATATGTCTCCAATAAATGAAAAGAAAAAAACAACCACTTATGCACATTATTAATGTAGCTCTGTGCATGCAAAATACATCCTGACCCTGCAGGTGCAAGCTTTTGCTATCCGCAGAGTAAAGGGATTTCAGAATATACCCAGGCTACTTTCACACTTCTACGTTTCAGTTTTAAAATGCGTCAATGTTGCAAAGGTCACACCCACTTCACACTACTCCAGATAATTTGAGCGCCTACAATGGAGACGTTTGGAAATGATGATGCCGTCACCAACATATGCTTCCTGATTGGTTCTTATCACACATGACTCAATGACCAGCAGAGACGGCAAACAGTTCCAGATCCCTCATCTCACTTTTCACCATTATTGTTTCTTGGTTTTAGTCATTTCTGTGGAACTACTCCTGTGTGCATTTGGCTGAAACAAATATTTATACAGAAAATATTTCAGGTAACGAAGCAAGACTTGTTTATGGTTTAGGATAAACTTCTGACATGCACATACACACACACACATGCACACACACACACACACACACTGAAATGACACTTTTACTCATATAGCACACACACACATGTACACTGGGGTGTTTGCTCTGGAAGATGAAAGCCAAATGTCTGGAAACTGACTTCACATCTGCATCCTGTTAAATACGCTAATAATACCCGCAAACACAACAGTGAGGGTGCACACACTCTCTCTCACACACACACACACACATTGGAAATGCTCAGCAGGCTTCATAAAGGCAATTGTTTTGTGATTCACTGAAACTGAGATGAGTTTTACTCCGTTCCATGAAAGAGTAAAACTGTGTGTTGTGGTGTGTGTGTGTGTGTGTGTGTGTGTGTGTCTACATCTCCACTGTCTATTAACTGGAACCATCAATGTAACTGAACACTTGATGCTGGTGTGAGTCATCTCCTGTTACACTTTTGGCTTTTAATTAATTTTAGCCAATGAAGCCCCCGAGAAGACAGACCGTGACTAAAAACAAACACGTGCATTAAAAGGTCTCCTGTTTCTTTTCATAGCCTCAGAAACAGCCACGAGGAGCATGGAGAGCTGAGAAAACTCTGTCCAGAGTTTGCCTGGTGGGCAAATGATGTGTTTCTTATTAGATGACTTTAAGTAAAATAATAAAACAAGCACATCCATAAAAATAAAATGAAATTGGTTTCTTGTGAAGTTTGCTGGCCAAAAATATTCCACATCACAGCTCTGCTAAATTTGCTGTGTGTGTGTGTGTGTGTGTGTGTGTGTGTGTGTGTGTGATTGATGGTTTGATGCGTTTCTATTGAGCGCTGTGCGTAACTTGGCTGCCTGGTCAAGACTCACTGAAATCCCCCCAATGAAAAAGGAAACAAGAAAATGGTTTTACAAAATAAGAGCATCAACAAATAAAACGCTGTGAAAATAAAGTCAATTATTGCTGATATAGTATAAAATATATACTTTTTGTATTTGAATCAATTTTTTTTTATTTGTCATTTTCTACGTTTTATCTCTCCTTTAGTATCAGGTTTCAACAAGGCATGAGCCATTTGGGCTTTTATTTTGTCGTCCAGGAAGAGAAGCTGTTTTCTCCTGGGTGGTTTGACACTGGCGTTTAACTAAAGTCCCCAGCAGCGTGGTCCCATCAGACACATCTCCTCTGGACTTTACTGAGAACAGACCAACTCTCAGCGGCATTAATTCAGAATGGATGTGAAAGTGTTGGCTCTCGTGGCTGCGCTCACTGTGGTGACATATGCGCCTCCAGCTCAAGGTAAGGACATGGTTTTGCTGTTTCGCTTGTTGATCCGCTTTATTTAAACTTTTATTTGCTGCTGTCGATGTAAAATAACAACAGGATTATCTGCAATTTGTAAAATTGTATTTTAGTTGTTTCCCTGGAAAGACTGAATTTCGTTTAATTTCTATTCACGTGGCAAAAATGCATGAAAGTATGCGTAAAAATGCACAACTGGAAAGGAATGTCCATTTCACAACTGTTAACTTTTTGTACTTAATTAAAACCATAATGAACTTTTGTAATTATTATACTATGCTTCCCATTATACAATTGTTTATATAATTTAAATTTAAGTGACACCTACGTCGATACAATTTTTAGACAACTAAGTTTAAAATCCCAAATTCTATTTATATGATAATTGCATTTTAATTCAACATTCTTCTTGGTTTTTTTGGTTTCTTTTTTTAATTATCATTAACAGATTTGATTAATGTGAGTGAGCTTATTGTTCGGAGGGGAAAACATAAACAACTGGCTGCACATGTGTTTTCCTCTTTGCTTTAAATGAAATTCACCTTCACAGATCAACGTGTGTATTTGTTCGGCTCTTTGTTTTCATTACGCGCAAATGAGGCAGCAGTAAGACAAAGACCCGGGTAGTCTTCACAGCGACTCCAGTCACACAACTTGAAGGTGTCGCTGCTTGTATTATGGTAATAGATTTAGACCAGGTGTAAAATAAATCATTAGCATCGAGTTTAATCTACTTCTGACCATCTGTTAGTGAGACCTCCTGCCCTCCATCACTTTAAAACACTTTCTGACAAGGACATTCTTGTCCTGATTTACCTCCTCCAAAAATGTAGTATAGCTTTTTAATTTTATGTTTGATTTTCGCTGATGTAAACTGTGGGTTTCTCAAAAAGAGAGTAAAGAAAAGAAAGCATAATCCTATTTATTTTTCCACATCACTCAACTGTGTACAAACCTGAAAGCTGAGGTTGTGATGGAAACTATGAACATTCATTATGGAATTTATAAGGACCACAAAGTTGTGTATATGACTGAAAGGATTTTAGTGTGAGTGGGATCTACAAGTGCTGATATAAATTTTAAAAAATGTTTCTGTGCAAATCTGCAGAAAGAAGGAAAGAAATCAGTAATTTTTTTTGTATTACCCATAATCACAAATTGCAATGTGTCTCATATAGGGCTTTACAATCTGTACAAGGTTCAGCATCCTCTGTCCGTAACCCCGACTAGGATGAGGAAAAAGAGAGAAAATTAAAATGTGTGATTTTGATTGAATTGTTGGCTCCAGCATGAGCTAACCCCAGATGAATGGGTAAATCTGACAGCTGTGCAGTGTGCGGGCTGTTTGGATTTATGGACACATTTCTGAAGAATTGTAGTGGTTCTGCATGCAACTGTCAAAGATAATGTGGAATATAGATTTATGTGCTCGCTACATCATTACATTTTCACCTAATTTGATTGTTGAAATAATAATAATGCTAACTTGATACTTAAATCACTTCTTTGTCTCTCAGCGAAACCCATCAGCCTGGTGGAGAGATGCTTCTGCCGCTCGACAGTTAACAACCTTCCACGGAGCTACATCCGAGAGCTCAGGTTCATCCATACGCCCAACTGCCCCTTCCAAGTCATGTGAGTATTGTTTTTCAAGTTGATATCAATGTGTGGCGCTCACACAAGCACGCAGAGGTGCATGCTTTCTATTCCAGCACTTAAAAATCAGACAGGGTCCCTCCTCGTTGGACATTTCTCACCATCAATCTCAGAGAGGTGGCAGGTTAGAGAAAGGAGTTGTGAATGTGTGTGTACATACACACGCCCCTCTGTCACTCGGCCTCGCTCACATCCACAGAAAGCAGGACATTTTTACTGTCACATCCACAGGAAGTGCTCCGTCTAAGAAAGGTGGAAATTGGATGCAGTTTTGTTTTCAGCATGAAAGCGAGAGTTGCGGGTTCTCTAATTAGGTGTGCTTCTCATTTGCTTGTCACACAGTGTTCCCTCTGCATACTGTGCTTACAAACTTTGGGTCTAATCCCATTCATTGTTTTGGCCTGTACAGGCTGAATTCACAGATGGGAGTTTGCAGCAGCATCAGCACAATGTGGTTGATTAGAATGGACAGGAAATTAAAAGTAACGAGTAGGAAATAAAACTGGGAGGTTTAACAACTACACATATAGGGAAAGTGTTAAACAGATTTTGGGGAAAAACAGGATGTCAACATGGAGAAATATGATCCCGTCTTAACCCTTTCTGTAAATAACCACTGGGGTGTGCTGGATTTAGAACGTAGCCTGCAGCCATAGGTTGATTGATTGACTCCTCAGCCTTCATGTACTCACATTTTACTGCACATTAATTAGGTCGCTCAAACAGGGCTGATCTTTGAGAGATAGTGGCTGAATGCACACACGTTACACATGAATAAATGCAACAGCTTTACAAACACGGGGAAGAGTCATTGGTCATTATCAAACTTTGATACACTCCCGTGAAAAAGCTTCCATATGTGTCGAAGTGGCGAGGTGGTGTTAATTCAGGCTCATTGATAACAGCGTGTCGACATAGTGTCACGCTGAGTGATTCGCCCTTTCATCTTCAGCTCTGCTATAATGTGAGAAACTTTTCTTTTTTTCTGATCAGTGCCAGGCTGAAGTCAAACAAAGAGGTGTGTGTGAACCCAGAGATCCGCTGGCTTCAGCAGTACCTGAGGAACGCTATCAACAAGTGAGTGTGCATAAATCAGATTGTGTGGATTGTGTGCTTGCAGCAACAAATGCTCCTGTTGTCTTCGGACAACTCGTCTGAAGCGCTACAAGATCACTTCCACTCTATAGACATTTAAAGTTAAGCAGTGCAAGGACGCAAAAACTGCATATGCGCATTTGGCCATCTATCAATGGACCATTGTGAGAGTGACAGCTCATGATTGCCCAACTTGTATCGTAAATGGTAACATGCTGATACATGATCAAGTGGGACTAGAGGTGGATTCCACTTTCACACACAAACTGTGGGTTTGATGTGGGATGATATCGCATTTAATTTGTTCTCAAAGTAATCAACCATGTTAATACATGTCACTTATCTGAAAATGCAGTTTTACTGAATATACACTTGTAAAGAGATTTACTTTTAATATGACACAAGATGATGGGAAAAATAGTGCAACTTTATAGAAATACAGTCCTCATGGACATTAAAGCAGCTAAACATCCAAAAGTCAACGCCAATGTTAACTGTCTCCTTCCTGCCCTGAAGAACTAGACACTTTTCTGAAAAACCCTTGGCACCGTAAAGTTTATAGAGGGATCCAGTTTCCATTCTTAAATCTGTGCATTTATATACTGACCCCCTCAGTGGCCAGATAAAACAGACTGTGTCCTGTGACCTGGAAGTAGATAAAGATTAGTGAAAAACTGAGCTAACCATGTGAAGAAACAATGAATGCAGAATGCTCATCAGTCCTCCACGCTCCAGCTCCTAACGTGCACGCTCAGCGCCTGCAGACTGATCCGCCCACAGTTCTGCAGTCAGACGGTCTGTCTCGAGTCTGATTGTGAAGCGTTGACTCGACAAGGTGTCAACAGTCGTCTGCATAACAAAACAGGTCATGTAGAGAGTCGATGGCGCTCATTCACAATGGATCAGGCCTTATGTGTTTCCAATTAGGGACAAATTTATTTACAATGTGTAAAAACGCACACGACTGTAACACTGCACTTAAGTTTGGTAAACAAAACCTTAATTACTCTTTATTTCAAATCAGTTGAAATGGGTCTCTGCATTTAAACCAAAGTCAACATTTAAAGGGCCCACCCACGATCAAGTGTTTTTGCTGTAAACCTGTGCATATCACTGTGCAGCTGCTGCAAATGAGCCCCCTGTACAATTACATCTTGTGATGCCTGATTTATCCAAACAATAATTTTTTCCATTTAACAGAATTTAACTAAGAAGTTTCCTAAAACTAGAACTAGAACTTGGCAGCTGCTAACTGAATGAAAACATAGGAGTTGGAAATGGCCGACAAACCGATAGGCTAAAGGAGGACTGAGTAATTGGATAAATGTGAATGTAGAATAAAATCATCTTTAAAAATTATAAGTCAAAATATGTTGGCCTTGTAAACGTTAAGCAGCTGCTTTCATTTGACAAGAAATATATATTAAGTCGGACTTTTGGCACTTTCTTTCTAACCTTGGCATCCAGTCATGGCTGAACAAATACCCATTAATTTTTACTTGGTGTTTATTAGTTACAAGTTAACAGCAAGAGTTTGTCCAAGTGCACATGATGCAAAATGTTTTGTTTGTCCCTTTGTCAAATGTTTTTGTTTTTAATGAATTTGACAGAAAGCAACCAACTGTGTTATAGCAAGCCCCAAATATGATTTGACGTAGTTGTCTTCACATCTATTTTGCATTAAAATCAAACCCCTAACACATTTTCCTCTTTTTTCCAGGATGAAGAAAAACAAGCAGGCTAAATGAAATAAAAATCCTGCAGAGATCCTCCTGAGTCATCACTGAGGATTTGGCCCATCATGAGATCATCTGGTATGTTGTACAGCACTTATCCCCGGCCGTCGGGCTGACGCGGCCATTTGCATGGAACCAATCTACGACCCCTTCACCGTGACCACTGATGCACCAGCCTCCGCCACCGTCTTTCACCATCACCACGCTCACCACTTTATAAAGGTCATAGATGTTATTAGTGTGAAGTGCAATTATATCTGTGAGTGTATGTTTTTTTCACTTGTATATACTTTCTTGTTAATGGACTTCAACAGTAAAGAGCTATTTTTGAGATTTCTATCGTTCCTCTGGCCTTTCTGTCATTTAGTGTAAAGGACCTATACCTCAGGTCTGAGTTTAAAGGGGAGAGTTGTAGGTCAGGAGGAAGATTTTCTCATCAACAAATATGAGGCAAAAGTCTGACTTGCAAGTAGCAGAGAACTGTAGCCTTCTGAGCCGAGAGAAAACTGATTTATTTTAACTAATCCTAACCCAAACATTGGATCCAGTCATTCTGATTGCCTCTGATTTTAAAATGTACAAATTATTCAACAAGAGTGTTTGGATTCTCATCTAAAAACTGAGGAACCCGGCTGCTGAGTTGTATTTCATGTTTCAACTTAACTGCAAGCATGGAATTTCAGCGGGGGCCAGCTACCCCCGGAATGATTATATACGGCGTATACAAGATCCTAGTAAAAATGGCAATTACAATGTTTTTGTGATGGAAATTAGGATGCCAAAAAGGGCCCGAGCATTTCCTGAGCCAGTCTGTTGCTGTGATTATACGATCCTGTCTTGCTTTATTTCCATTCTTAGAGAAACGCGTGAGCATCTGGAACCCAAGTACGTTTAATGTTGGAGCCAATAAATCAAAAAAAGCTGGAGTCCTTAATCTGTGTCAGTCAACCAATCACAGTCAGGGTCAAAAAAAGATGAACTAGTTATCTGCGCTCTGTTTGAAATAACCTCGTAGTATGAATGTCCATTTGAAAGAAGGGTTTACAGCAATTTGAAAAACAGTTACAGATTTAATAGTTCAGGCTGTGTTATTCTAAAGCAGAGAAAGTAGCACCAGTACTGATAACAAACACATGTACAAAGATTTGACTACCTACAACTGTCATGCAGATAGCGACGCACTTTATACCTGATGTATTAACAAAAATTTACTCACTAAGTCTGATCATTAAATTCTGTCTTCAGTCTTTAATTTTTATGTCTATCTTGCTCTTTCCAATTATGTTCTTTTTTTTGATCAATGAATGTGCAGCTGCATTTAGGGAAATATATTCATCCATTCATCCAAATCTCCTCCTTATATGTGAAATGAATATGATACAAATGTTTTATTTTTGTACTCTTTTTGCATTTATATATTCAGTGCAAAAATTTTTAATGAAGGAATTGTACTGTCACCATCGAGCCATTAACAGTCGACGTTTTATCGTAAAACTTGTACGCGCTTGGTCAGAAAAAAAAAAATGAAATTTTTAAAGTGTTATAGCTACTCTTTTAATATATGCTGTATGTTATGAGTATTTTCATAAATATATATATGTATACACGTTTATCCGCTGGTGCGCACCATTGGGCTTGGGGACTCCCTCATGTTTATAGTCAGTGTAACACAGGCTTTTCCAGAGCCAACACACACAGCTGGAGGAATCTTACTGTACCAGTGGGTCAGAGGGTAAATCTGAAGCTTTGATGTGAGAACATGTGTTTAGCTTTACTCACAAGGGCAAATGAAAGGCAAGGACAACAATCCTGCCTGCGATTTAACTATTAACTCAACAAGCGGCCATTAGGAGAACATTAGGGCTGAAAAGGGATGAACTTTTAACTTCCCTCCGAGGGCATTATGTGGGGCGGAGCACGGTAGTATATGTGGTCCGCTGATTGAAACATAAGGGGGGGAGATAAACGGCGCTGAGTGGCAGCACGCAACCGGTTTTGCGATGTTTACTGATCAGCCTTGAAGTCCGGTTTAAACATGATAAAAAGCGGAGTCAGGAGGAGATAAAGCAATTGATTTGTCCCAATTTGGAATGGAAATTAATCACATACTGTATAATCACTGTATGATCTGATTGTGTAAAACTGTGTTGAATGTGGGTATCACTGTGGGAATCTGCAGGTAGCAACACGTACTTTCCTCCCCTGCAATGTTAAGATTAAGCAGCTTTTGTTGTGTGTGACAGTTTTATCAGTCACACAAAGGACAGAGCTTCACATCTCTACCACTGTAAAGCATTTAAGATCTTTGTTAGAATATGCAGAATATTTCAATTCAACTTTATACGACAAATAGCTCACGTGTCATTTGCATTCTATCTTATATATTATAATGCTATGTATAATAATGATAATAAAATTATATGTTACTACCCACTAAATCATCACCGACGTATGTGTGGTTTGAACTAATGAAAAGCAGTTGTAATAGTTCGTAAGTCATTGTTTTCTTGGGATCATTGCCAACACACACCACTTAATGCAGGTGACGTCACCGCACCTATGAAGCCTGATGTGTAACAAAAGGCAATGTTAAAAGTTTAACTTGATATTTTATGTGCACGTAACATTTACTTGCCAGTGGAAAATGCTAAGAAAAAATCTTTGAAAAGCTAGTAAAGCCAAGTCATTTCTATAAAACGTGATGCATCTGAGAGACAAGAAACAGCTAATGCAAACACATAAAGAAGTCTCCATTAATCAGGAGGCTTTGCAGAGTAAATGAGATGTTTTAAAGCACTAATACATCTGCACACTGAGTTTACTGAAGCGAAACTGAACAACGTGATTAAATGTTTTTTATTGGCAGATTTACACTTCTGATCTTCCTCAGTGCCATGTCGTTGCTTGAGGGCAACTGGGCACTGAGCCTAAATAAACATGTCCCAGATCTTTTCACACCATTGTGTTTCACATCTTCATCACCAAACCTGAGAGACAAGTAATCCTCCTCTGACTCAAGGAACATCCACGAAAAAGTGCAATTATGAAAAGAGACCTTTGTTAAAATGTTCATTAAAGTCAGTGTTACCAGGATATTGTTTTCAAATTGTGCTAATGCTGTGAAAAATAATGAAACCTGAAGGTTTGTCAGCACCATGAGCTGTACAGTCGTCACTGCACCGGTTTGCTGGAAGGCTGAGGAATGTATGGACAGGGCAAGACATATGAAATTCATATTCAGCGTTGCCTTCAAAGCTCAGCTGGGGTTTAGAGTTCAGCCGCAATGTCACAGAAAAAAATGGACACCTTGACAGATGAATAAAGATTTGTTGTGTGAAATGCAAAGAATGACACGTAAGACACCAGTCGAGCAAATGTGCTCATTTCACTAGCACTGCATGTTCCCTCCATCTTGGAGCGTAAGGGCTCCCAGATGTGCAGCCAGTGAAATTCCACTTAGTGGTTATTCATCATGAAAATATAAAAATTGAATGTGTGTGTGTGTGTGCACGTGTGTGTGCGTGAGAGGGTAACAGAGGTCATAGAAAGCCACTTCAAGAAGGTCCCAGTAAATATTGCTCTCCACGGCCAGGCGAGTTTTTAATAAAAGCTACAAGGTGGTAAAGTTAAACTGGGGTCACTTTTAATGTGTGTGTGTGTGTGTGTGTGTGTGTGTGTGTGTGTGTGACATCACTTCCTCACTCTACTCAATGACCATTAACTTCGCTGTAGCTTACCAGCAGCCACTCTGGCAGCTGCACACTGCAGTCTCAGGGCCCTTAAATTGTCACCACCCTAAAAGCCAAGGCATCATGAGAACTGCCCTGCAGAGCGTGTTAGGTGGTCAAAACGCAGGAACCTACTCGTCACCAGGATTCCACCACGGTGGAGTAAAATGGCGCAGCATGTCAGTAATCTCTTGGAGGTAAATGAAAAGTATCAGGCCAATTGTTGTGCAGCTGCAATCTGAAACTTGTGAATTGTTTGAACTGGCAGGACGAGGATGTGACTGCACACAGATCTGGTGTTATTCAGCACTTTGTGGTTCACTGGATGTCTGATTGTATTTGTTTCTGCTCTGTGAAAATATTCTGGTTTGCTTGATGTAAACTTTTTTACCCCAGGTCACATGATGCAAAACATTGTAATGAAATGATGTATTGGTGTTGCTCTGCTGGATGTTTAGAAATCGTCTATCCAGTTCTGTAGCATTTCCTGAGCCTATCAATAAGAAACCTGGGACTAGTTTTGCATGGAAACATTTGATTCCCCAAAGGGAAACTTGACATTTGCTGTTTAACCCCCTCAACAATTAGCCATGAGCACCAGGTCAGCTACTGCAAGGCAGACACTCAGCTGTCATGTGGCATTGATTGATCTTTGGGGTTTTTCTGGTTTGAAGGGTTGTTTCAACAAAGATTGAGATCTAAAAGTAGAAACGTTAGCCTAAGAGACAACTAAATAATAATAATGTGATACTTTACCAATGTTTACTGCTGTCCGGAAAGCTTTCCATTCCCAGATACAGTTTTTTTCTGATCAGAGTAAATAAAAGATGTTTTCAGACAAGAACACCAGAAAACATCCGCACAAGTGTTCTCCAGACTTTGCTTTTCATGTATGAACAACACAGCAGGAGATTCTCTGGGCAGACGCATTCACAAGAACAGAAAAATCTCCAGATTGTTCAGACGAGGGGCGGCGGGCTTGCAGGAGGGAGCTTTTTATACACAGTCTATGGGAGGGAGGCTGTAATGTATAAATTCCGCGGTGGAGATCACATGTTTTTGTTTATCACCAAAGCTCTCTAATCTCATTGTCTTTCCAGGTTGGCATCTTCCTCTGCTTCCTTCTTTTTGTCTGTGTTTTCTTTTTCAGTTTTGCTTAAGTCGTGTGTTAGAGATGCTTTCAACGCGCCCACTTGCTTGCGGTGAATCCTCTGCATAATTTCCTGCTCTATTGTGACATGGGCTCACTCCGACAGTCTTCATAGTTTTTACTAGGGGGCTGAGAGAATATCTGCAGCAACCGACATACAGGCCCTCCGGTTCATTTTCTAGTGTATGTCTGAAAACAGCTATGTAGTCATTGCCTCACCTCCAGCACTCAGGAGATAAACCAACTGCACTGTGACTGTAATTCTGATCCAGAGAGTTTCTTCACCAACACTTTAAATATCTGAGAGGCTGACGTGTGTGCATCTGGAAAGTGTGTATCCACAGCTCCCACTCTTTCTCAACCACATTCTCCTCCTGCTCCCCACTTGTGTTGTTATTTACTCCCCTTGTCCCAGAGCAGGCCACTGCCCTGGGGCATCGGCTGCACCAAAATCATGCTCCCCAAGGGAAACATTAGCAGACTTGTAGCTGTTCTGGTATCAGATGACCTGTAGCACATTTCCACGAGTGCACACTCATACACCAAAAAGTCCCATGTAATGATTTGTAAATGACTTGTTGATTGTGCAGAGGGGGGCCGCAAAGTGTCATTAATTGCCTTAACACTGCCAGTGACCCGCCAGAACATTAATCACAATTATGACAAAATTACTCAGCTGAACGTCACCGAAGAGTTTGTTCCTGCGACGGATATTGAAAGTGACCAATATGCATTGTGTAATAACAGTGGCATGTGTGTGTCTGCTTGAGAGTGAATGGGAGGCTAATAGAGGGGCCCCTATGAGCAGTTAAAATAGGCCCCCTGCAGTCTCTATACCTTTCATGTGCTAATATTGCAGAGGTTATGAGTTCCAATACTATCCATCTCCACACAGATGTTTGAATGAGAGAAGAACACACAGCACAACAGAGGACGTGGGGCCTTCACTCCACACAATAACACATTCCTCCAGTGCAATTCTGTTTTCAAGTCCTGGATAACCACAGCGAACCATGGACGTTAGGTACGAATGACACACAAAGGACACACATACTCAGGGGACAGTAGGAGGCCCATAGAGAGACCAAAACACCCCCAACGTTAAACTTTACCCACATATCACACACTGAGCTGCCCTTCATCTCCATTCCTTGCAGGATTATCACCTACGTCCCAACTGGTTGATCTATGAATTGGCGGTTTAATCTGTTCCCATACTGAGCTCTGAGTGCCACGTTACGGCCATAGAGAGAGAAAAAAAGACCATGGAGAATGTGACTAACCATGAGAAGAAAGAAACAATTACACCATTATCTGAAGATGAAACTGATGATACTGTACTTGCATCATCTCCAGCACCACAGAGTACATTTTTCTTCATGAGGTCGATCCCTATAGAGACTCCTCTGTCGGGCTGCAGTGTGACTCAGTGCCTGAGCACGCTGTCCAGATGCGACAGACCGGGAGGTCTGATGCCTAATGCCATCGACTAATATTGTTCATCCTCAAACAATGAAGTGTTCCAGAAGCAAAATGAAAAATTACCCAGGGTACATCTGAATAGCGTTTAGATGTAAGCAATACCCCCAAAAATTTAGGATTGTCGTCATTGCAAGGGGTACATAGTTGTGTTGCTTTGACCTAATTTCAAATTTCATGATTACTACTTCACTAACTTTAATTTCAGAGAACTTAGCCAAATGAAAAGCATATATTCTCCAAATGTAGTGCTAC